CTTCATTCGAAACGGTGCAAAATCAGGCGTTTCGCTATAGAACATTACCTTATAAGACGTTTCTTTACATGGCATTCCGACTAAGAATCGTATAGCTTAACGATGAATTCTGGTTGTCTGAACATGGGGTTACACATCCCTATTTGTCAGCGTGTGTCTTTGGCTTGGTGATCACCCAAGTAATGTACTGAAAAGTCAAATTTCCTGTTTTCCAAAGGCGTTCTCAACATACCGTACACTGATGGCTGCGAGCTAGGTACATGTAGGTTAGGCCATATGTATCCATGTGCCCTTTGTGTCATTGAGTAGTTTGGAGCAAATTTTGTACCAATAGCCTCTGAAAAATTAGTCACAAAATGAATTTTATGATGCACATTTACTCTGATTTTTTACCCTTTTATCTTGTTATAATATGTCACATGATTATCTATAACAATATATAGGTTGTACAAATATTGTTGTTTTTCTGAGGAAACAAAGCACTGAACTGAATCATACCTGGAACATAAACAATGCTCAAATCACCCTCCATCATAATTAAACAAAAGCCAAGTACACGCAGTTAATGACTGAATTATTCATAGCCTTACCCATTTTTGTATTGCTTAAGTATGTGGAAAATTGATTTGTTCAAACTTATGTTTCTTGAGAATGTGACATATTAAAGCTTTCATCTGAAAATATTCAGCAAATTAAAGGCCCTAATTCAACCGGCCAACCTTTCATTTGTGAGTTACGAAAAACACAAAAGGCATCAAAATATACAAGAGGTATGAATAATTTAGTTATTAACTGTATTGAGGAAACAGTGTACATGCTTTAACTGCATCAAGGTACAATGTAGAAGAAAGCCATGCAAAAATGTAAAATTAATCGCAATTCAACGATATATTAAGTGAGCTTGATATTTGTGTTGGGGAAAATGATGACCCATATCTGTTTCCCTGTAGGCTGTAATGCTGTGAGAACCGGCTTCCAAGAGATTTGGGAGAGGGTATGTGATTCATTGATAAGGGGAGTACTAAAACCAGCCAAGATCTGGGAACATTTTAGGAACTATCTGACATTTCTTCTTATAATTGTATGATACTGGTAAATGTTTAACAATGTTTCGGGGTGACTTTGCCAGGACTCTTTGAGGTCATCAGATAAAACACAGAGAGAATTAAATTCATTAATACTTCAATCTCCCAGACTCTACCCAGATACATAGATAGGGAGTCAGCTATATAGACTGTACAACTAGTTCCTCCAGAAGAACATCAAATGTGTACTCTCTTCACTATCAGAGTAAAAAGTGAACACAATTGGCTCCAAATTAGTAACGCGATAAATACAGTAAGGTACAGTACTGGAAGCGCTGAATAGCATGTTTGTGGGTTTTTAAATTCTAATTTTCCTGTTTCTTGTTTGTTTGTGTGTGTGTGTGTTTGTTTCCATGTTTGTTTGTTTATGTCTTGGGACAGTGATCCTGAACATATTGATATCTCCCTTCTTGGTATTCTTAGTCCTCTCTCTTGAAAGTCCTGAATTCCTTGTTTCATAATGTCCAACCAATGAATTACGAACACAACTTCCTGTAACGCACATGTACAGCCCTTACTTCCTCAACAAAAGATTGTGACACTTTTTGATATTGTTTCATTTAAATGGGTTATTAACACCCCCCCCCCCCCCCATCAATGCACACATCAACTCAACTTACGGTAACATTATGTTATTTCTACATATTTTTCCTTCTTTTCCAAGAACTTATCCTTCTTGTTTGAATAAATAATTTTAAAATTCCAAGTTTCTGTTAAAGTTCAGAATGACCTTGTTCTACTTATGATCATAAAAAAACATACATTTGAGTTGTTTTACACAATATATATTTCCTTGTTTCTGTTACACTTCATATTACCTCTCTCTCTCTCTCTCTCGCTTGTTTTTAGCCAATATTTTTATCTCTTTTAATCATCTCACAGAATTCAATCTCTCAATGGTTTCTATGCCAATATCTAGAGGGGAAGTACGGGAAATACAGAACAGGAACAGAGCAATAACTTGTGAAAACAAAACATATATTCCCTGATTAATTGATTCTATTTCAGGCTAAAGATATCCTTGGAGAAGAATGCATCATACTCGAGGTTAAATACGGCCTTTTGACATTTTAAAGTAATCTGTTGTTATTTGTATTCTGTGTTCAAATGCACTCTCTCTATCACTTCTCCCTCTATGCCCCCCCCCCCCCCCACTCTCTCTCTCTCTCTCTCTCTCTCTCTCTTCTGTGCATAATGCTTCTCTATTAATGATGCAAGGTTTATTATTTCTGTAATGCCCTCATCATCATATCTCTCTCCCTCTCCCCCCCCCCCCTCCCCCTCTTGTTCTCCCTCCCTGCTTCTCTCTTTTATACGCATAATACTTTATTATGATACTACAAGGCTATTCTTTTTTATCTCCCCAAATTCACTCTTCACTCTCTCGATCATCCCCTTCCCTCTCTCTCTCTCTCTCTCTCTCTCGATCTCTCTCTCATTCTCTCTTTCTCTATCTCTCTCTCTCACTCACCCTCTCTGATCTAAACTCTCCAAACCCATGCTTAGTAACTCTTTCTTTTCCCTCTTCTCCCTCCCCTGTGAATGAACTACATCTCTCTCTCTCTCTCTCTCATACTGTTATAATGAATTTGGAACAACACAGATCTTTTGATAAGACGCCGGGCTGACATAGCAACTTTCCTTTCCTTTCTTCCCAACTGTTCAAATTAATCCGAAAAATTGTTGAGTAATGCCCTAGCTGTATACTAATGCTAAGGGTTTTAAACACCGACATAATCACACTTAAAGGGTAGGAACAGTATATACAATGTACAACTTAATTATTCATACCCCTTGTGAATTTGATGTTTGTTTGTGTTTTTCATAACTCAGAAAAGTGGATTGATTGAATTAGGATATTAGTTGTATACTTTTAGATGTAAGCTTTAATATGTCACATTCTCAAGAAAAATGAACCGGGACAAATCAAATTGTCACATAATCAAAAATCTTAAAAACATAATTACCATATAGGTTATGAATAATTTAGTTGGTACCCTATATACAATGTGTACGTGTACACTGTCATGGCGAAGAGGAAATTGAAAGAACAGGCTAACAAGAAAAGAAAAACAAAGCTTGTTGATTTTCTGGGGTCAGTCTCATGGCTAACTAAAATCAACCTCTAGGGATTAAATCAATTAATAACTCAGCATTTATAAATAGCAGCCCTTTTTATACCCCGCTGTTTACAAGCTGATTTATGCTCATATAGATGTGAACAATGCATCATAGTATATCAATAAACTACCGTGCTATCTATCTCAACAAGCCGTTTTAATCGCTAGGGTGTAAATTAATAAGTTCCTCCTTGCATGGGTTAACCTTGCAAGACAATGCCGCAAACACAGTAGGCCTGTCCTCATCAGACCGAAGTTGCAAAATAACCCGCTATTTTAGCTAGCCCGATCTCAAATTAGCCAGCTATTAGTGGCATCTTTGTTTGCCAGCAGTTGCAAATAGCGGGCAATTTGGTCAAGAAAATATCCCAAGAAATATTGGTCTTAATTTTTTCCAAAATAAAGGAAGTTGCAAAAGTTGTGCCCGTTTGTGATCAGCGTATCAGTCTGGTGAAGATGCAATTTCGAACTTTGGGGAAATTTTCCACGCTCTGAAAATAGCGGGTTATTTTGCAACTTCGGTCTGATGAGGACAGGCCGATATGATGAGGTCAATTGTAAATGTTTGTAAAACTTAAAAGTATAGCCCCAGTGTACAGTCTTTTAATGCAGAGGAGTGGAAATCCACTCCTTTAGGAGTTGTATTTATTAGGGATAGTTTTATTTCAGAGTTGAAGTCACTCTAATATCATTGGAATCCACTCCAAGTTAGGAGTGGTTTGAGTGAGTTATTTAAGAGGTGATTCTACTACATGTATTTCATCTTTGAGAAAGAGTTGCTCAACTCCAAAAACAAAATGATCCTATAAATAAGAATGCTTAAATAGTGGATTTGATTCCACTCCCATTCATGTACATGTAGAGAGTATTGTGATGCAAGCAGGGCATGTGAGTTAAACTCTCACCTCCCTGATGCAAGTATTGGACAAATAACAATACAGAAGACTGTTTTCCCGAGATTCTTTGAAAATGATATCAGGAAGTTTGACATCAAGGATGGTTTACACTTTGGCTAGCCATTCCAGGAAATCATTTTTTTTTCTTCTAAGTTTCAGTTTCTGTATGGAGCCAGAGGGGCGTTATCTCTGTGTTTAAGGATATAAGATAACTTCCTTTTGGCACTGAACATACAAAAAGATGATTCCCAGCATTTAATTTACATTGTGCCATATTTCTGTTTAAAATACATGCCTGCATACTCAAACAAAACATTACAAACTTAATATTTATATCTGCAAAAGGAATTTTAAACAAAGAGTGATGTTAGTACATTTCAAATAAAAGACATGTAAAATTGTAAAATACAAATCAGCTCACTAGTATAAAATACAGTCATGTAATTATTTGTTTTAAATATAATAATAATAATAATAAAATTCACTAAAAATACAAATTATTAGTATCAAATACAGTCATGCAATTATTTGTTTTAAATAATAATAATGATATTCATGGAATGTAAATAAAATATTGAGACAATACGAGGTTGGAGAGGTGCCACACATTGTGGGCGGAACCATGGATGGTGATCGTCATGGCGATGAAACTATAAATTACGTTGATGAGAATGGGAAGATCGAGTCTCTGATAACAGGAGATAACATACTGATGGAAAATGGTATTGTTGTGGTAATACATCACTAAGAAATTAATGATGCTGTCGATGGCTAATTTGTGGATGAAAATGGCAGCTGTTGTCGTGGTAATGATTACAAATGGTAATGATTACAAATAGCAATGATATAATGATGATGTGCCTGTAAACAACGGCTCTAAAATGCAGCCTCCTAAACACGTGAAAACAAAATATAATGGCTAAAACAGAGGTGAAAAAGATGCAATTAGTTTGATGTGAAATCAGATAAATAATAATAAATTACTTTGTTAATGATCGATACTTATGGTAGTGATATCGATTATGGTGGTGGTGGTGGTGGTGGTGGTGGTGGTGGTACATCGGTTATGGTGGTTGGGCTCCGACTCATAGATAGACTTATAGTCAAAGCATGTTGATGTGGTTCAAAACAAAGTAAAATGAATAGATAAGTATGTTAGTTAGTAATTTACAAGGCAGGCAGAAATAATATAAATGAACTTGTTAATAAAATACTGAGGTAAGAATGAAATAATCTAATTAGTGTGATGAAAAAATAAATTGGTTAGTTGATGGGATAAAAACTGTGATCAGTTAAATGAGGAGATTAAAGTGCAGTTGGATGCAGCATTCTGGTGAAAAATGTATCAAAACTCACTCGCTAATCGGTCCATCTTCCGGACCTCGCTCCTCGTAATCCAGGGAATATTTTTTCACGCGACTACTCCGTCTGATGCTTATGCGGCGTACAATTCCATTGCGGTTAACGCGATCTTTGAGGCGATTCCATATTTTTCCTGAAGCTGCAGCCGACATATTGGCTTCCTTTTACCTCATATCACGAGAAAGAAAGATCGGGTGGGTGCGTGATCCACGATTGGAGCTTTGTGCGCCTCGCCTGTGTCGGATAAGAAAATGCAATAGATTCTCAAGAAATATATGCCTTAAATTCCACTTTAAGATTGATAAAAAAAGATTCAGCTATTCACGGAATGTGTTGCAGGTCTGTAAAGGACTGCAATGCGTGTTCAAGTGAATAAATGGAAGCTTCACACATATGTTTGCAGAGGCACTTTCATGTTTCCCATGTGTTTCAAGCTCTATACTCCAAGCGAATGTGGATGGTCTAAATTGAAAGCATCTGCAATGAACACAAGTCGTTTTAGATCCCTTGGATGGTCCTGAAAGTGATTCACAAGTGAAGAGAAATCAATCCCACTCGCGGTTGAAAATGTAATTTTGACCACTGACAAGTTCATAATGGATGTATCGAATCAGAAACAAGACGGGAAGGTTCGAGAGGGACGGAAAGCGAAAGTGAGAAGAAGACAAAGGTGCAAAATACAGGAGAGACAATAATAAAGAGAGATGGAAAAGAGAAGGTGCAAGAGGTAGAGACAGGGGGAACAGGAAATAGATAAATGACAGAGAGAAGGAGAGAATGAAAAATAGAGAAATAAAGAGAGATACAAGAGGAAGAGAAAATGTATACCGGTTATGGAAAAAATAAAAGCAGAGAAAGAAAGAGAAAGATCCACAACAAGAAAAAGAGAGAGGAGAGAGAGACAGAGAGAGAGAGATAGAGAGACGTGAGAGAAGTGAGAGAGACATGGGAGAGAGAGAGAGAGAGGGAGAGAGAAAGACAGACAAAGACAGAGGGAGAGATAATGAGAAAAAAGAGAGACAGAGTGGCAGAAAAGCCTCAGAAAGATTCACAAAGATATCCCTTCCAACCAGAAAATTGCAATATATCCTGACAAAGGCTGCATCACTGATACTATTATTGCCTTCACTAGCTGATCAAGGCTCCATATGTCCCAGATACCTTATTAAACATAAGTGCTACATAACCCCCAAACAGCACCGTGGCAAGGGGATATGAAATAAACTCAATTTTGACAAGCACCGGGGCTTTGAGTCGCGATAAATCACAAGTCCATCGGTGGAGCCGAGTAAGTGAGCCCACGTGTGGATGATTAGTCGCAGCCTCGCCTGACAACGACCTGCCCTGTCTAGATGGTTCAAAATCCACGATCAGCGCAATACATCGCCCTCATCAGTGGCAATTAAGCCCTGTATGGGACAGTCATTGGTTGGCTTAACGTCGTTTAATCAAATTGGGAATATGACGATGATGCTTCGTCAATTACCTTCATGTATTTATGTCACAGGTTATGTGTTTTTTTCCTTCAATAACAAGTGGGATACATTTCATTAATTTAAGCAAATTAGGTGGTTTAATACAATCAAAGCATAACCATCTGTGATTACTAAATATACATGGACAGAAATAAAACATCCACATGTTTTGGTACTGCATGCAGAGAATTGGATATAATTTATAGGTCAAAGTCATAATGGGAAATTGACAGCGTGTATCAATTGCTTGGATCTAATGTGAGTCACAATAGCATGAATGAATGAAATAAAGAGTAAATTGTTAACATCCTAGCTCCACGCGCAAACAGGGGCCATACAAGGAATGCAAAATATGTCTAATAACAAACAGATTTAGTCATAATCCATGCTAAACATAATATGTTTGCCCCATCTTTTCTGTTCGAGTTGACTATGCGGACGCCGTAGAAAAATCTGTACAGTGTATGTTATGGAAAGTATAGTCCTGAGCAAGAAACCAAAAACATTTGGAGAAAGAAGGAGATAAAACTTGAAATGCAGAATACCAACATGGCCTTTTAAAAGTTCTATAACATTTAACACATAGAATTACAGAAATGGATGTACCAAACCATATATTTTGGATTTCAAAATATTTGAGAGCCTGCATGTATTACAATTATTGGTTAGTCTTGACTATCAAAATTAAAAGTTTGTACTACGTTACTCATACACACATAACATTCAACAATGTTGGATGAACTAAGGCTATCATGGAAAGTAATTTGAATAAAATACAATAGACTCATATTAAACATTCATTTTTGCAAACAAATACTCACTGTACGTAAAAATCCAAAATACGAATCAATCACAAACAACTAGGTATCCAACGGTCCAACGGTCACGAATGCCAGACAGTTTTAAAGTTCCCAGGTACTGGCCAACTGTTTTCAAAATTCCTCCAAAAAAGTTCACTTTGCGAGACCAGTTTCACTGAGAGTACTGATTGGTGTGTGGACTCCCGACGAACCAAGCGAGTGCGCTATCACTAAACCAGGATGTGAATTTTTTCTCAACAGCGAGCGCACAGCGATCCGCGCACACACACACACACACTCAAACACGGTCGTCGAGACTTCCTGTCTGTTTCAGGAGTTTCAGGAGGAAATCAGCTGTTACTGAGCTTTAAAAATGTGAAGTACCGGTATGACTACTAATGGGTTATTTTTTTTCACCTTCAAAGTTTGAAGAACTTGTTTGATTGGAAAGACGGAAGAGGATATGCCCGCAGTGAAGAAATTAAAGCATACCTGCCAACCTTTCACAGCAAAAGTTAGGAATCTCTCAAGGCAGATTAGGAATACGGTTTATTTTGTATATCTACATGTACTTATCACACATAAAATTTCAGAAAAAGAGAGGCATCGAGGGTACAAAACAATAGCTTGAAGGCTAACAGATAGGAATCATTCCTCCAAAATAGGAATGGTTGGAAGCTACGGAAGATGATTAAAAAAAGAAATATTCGAGTTTGTGAATCATGGATATTGATTGATTAATTGGGCCTAGTTCTAAATATAGGCGTATAGATACAGTGTATGTACAATATTTGAAGACTAATGGAAAGGATTACATACCGAGTTGAATAGAATGTGTCACCAACGTGTGTGTCTGGAATCAAAGACTAACACATGGCACATGATACTGTGATGTATTGTGAATAGAGCTCCCAATAACCTATCAATAGTCTGCATATAGCACAGATGAACTTTTTATTTTTTTCATTAAACTTATTTTCTTCAAAATTTACGATAAACTAAAAAAAATAGCAGCTCAATCACGGGAACAGTAACAACACAGTCCAAGCAATATGACCCCCCCCCCCCCCCCACACACAACAAGAAAATGATGGATTACTCCTGTTAATGTCCAATTAAGTGGCCTATCAAGATAATGTAAACAAAATGGATTCTGGTATCGTATAAGTACTTCATTCATTGTTTCCAAAACTCAACACTTTCCCTTTCACCGTACAGTTATTACTTGATGAAAAAAGACTTCCTCGGACTGCTACTTCTGTTCATGTTCAGATCTTTTCAAATTACCTGAATTAAATGAAATTGGATCTGGTACCATGCAATAGAGAATTTAATACTTTTCCTTTCATAGAATAATAGAGAAAGGATCGATTCCCACAATGCCTTTGTGTACAAAATATGGAGTCAAGACTTCATAAGTAGTTCTGTTCACTTTCCAACAGATGTTGCAGTATCTTCATTGACTGAAATGGGATCTGGTATGATACCAACAGTTCACTGTACTTTAAAGTTCCTCTTTCTCTTTCATAATAACTACATACAAGTTTATTAGTAGCCAGGAGCCGGGCAAATATGTTAATCAAAATACATTGTAGATAAGACAGTACAAAGTAGAGTGATAAATTTCTTTAGAACTCTCAGTCTCATATTGGGAGATATGAAATTAATTTCTAGATTTGACAGATACCAGGAAATAACAGTATGTTTCATTTGTTTAAGACATGCACGACTTGTATAGAGAACATACATGCCATCAAGCAGATTTTAAGTGCATACATATTCACGAGTGAAAGTATGCAGTATGATATGACAATATGACAAGACTGGGCCCTGTCTTATAGTTGCAATGGATCAAAATCACTTGCAAGTCCTCTAATCAATCGAAAGTTTGCAGTCGTTGCGATTTATATCAACTTTTAATAAGATTGGCCCAAGGTCTAGAGTTTCCAGTTAAGGATGACAATTAATACTACATGTTCATGTACATGTCATTTATATACAATCAAGGTTATTGGTAGCATCACAAAGTATTATCAAGGAACTGCATCAAAATTTTGAGACCGAAATGTATATACCGGTAGTAATTTTTGCATCAAATTAGAGTAGCAAATTAAGATAAAACATCACTTCATCTGTTTGATTCTGGCAATATTTGTGATTTTGTCAGTCAGGTTGTGACATTCAAAACATTATTTACAAACACAGATTTACCTAAAGTGCATACAAATTAATTGACCTACATAATACACTTATAATTTTGCACTTAAAATAATCCTACAAGGAAATAACTTGTAATACTTGAAAATGTGTCAGATTGTTGAATCAACTAGTATCCTACCAACCTTATTATCAGATAATACAGGAAATACGGGTTTATCTTGGCATCTACAATATCCTACATGTGGATACATGTATGATCTTTTTGGGTCAGAAAAGAGGAAACGAGGTAATATACCCTTTAAAATGGTTACTAATAGATTAATTAAAGAGCTAATTCTGTAGTTACCACTAAATTTGAGGTAACTTATTAGAAATCATTAATTGATGGTATACCCTAAACATGATCTCTACTTTAGAACAGAAGACATTGAAATTGAACTTACTCTCAGCTTGATTAAGAGCTCAATCTGAAATTGCCACTAGATTTTTGGTTATCATTTGAAGCCAGATTTGATGGTATCCTAGAAATAACCTTTTGGTCGAAATAGGGGTAATGAAAGAATATTCCTTTTGACTTTTAATAAGTTACTAATGGATTAATTTAAGAGCTCATTCTGTATATAACATAAGATGTCACCACATCTGTCACTTTAATTCATAAACTGTAGTACATGTATGCGAGAAATTGTCTGCTCATACATGAAGCTGGAAGGCTGTATAAATTCATATTATCTAGATATATGATATAAAGTATGGCTCTCAGCAAAAGAAACGTTTTCTTGTCAGGACAGAAGGAATGAGAAAATTACCTGCTGTCCAATTAATCTAAGAGTTCCTTTTGAAGGTGCCACCGTATTTGTAGTTATATTTCTTCAAGTCAAAGTCGATGGTATCTTAGAAATGATCTCTGAAGTGAAGTACAGGAAATGATAGAATACTCTTCTGAACTTGGTTCTTTAAAAGATTATTGAAGATTTCATTTTGAAGTTGCCCCCAGTTTTTGGTCACAGTTGATGGTATCCTAGAAGAGATCATTGGTATCATAAGAGGAAATGAGGGAAATATTCTTTAACTCTTAAGCTGCCCCTATGCAATTCACCCAGTGCCACAATGCTAATCCCTATTGTGCCCGCTACTAATCTCCTGTGTGCTAAGTTAATTTAGGGTTGGTTCAAGTGCGTGTAGTTTAAATTGTTACTATGTTTGATCCACTATAACATCTCATCTGTATATTTTATAAAAAAGAATTGTACGTTAAAGTTGTAGGAAATTTAACCCTCTTTCTGTTGATACCAATATCATTTCATGAATCTGTAATTTTGGTAAAGTAAATAAGCACTATCAGTGAGTTGTCAAACCAATCCGTTGTCTCATTTCCCGCACACAATCTGAGGGGCAATGATCAAAACTGACAAATTTGATGATAAAATATCGCAATTTTCTCAGGAAAATCCAATGTAACGGTATACGTGAAGCACGCAAAATCAAAACAACAATAAACCCCCTCCACAAATACAGTAAGCATTCATGCGTGCACGCAATGCGCATCGCACAATAGGCATAAACAATTAGCTTGTGTACTTATGCACGAAAATGTGTCCGTGGCACGCGAGCGGATGAGAGTTTATGTGTCCATGGCAAGTCAACAGAAACCCGATTATGTGTGCGTGGCACGCCAGCGCATGCACAGAACAGTGTTCTTGGCACGATAAGAGTTAATGAAGTAGCTGTTGGATTGATGAAGAGTTCAATTTGAAGTTGCTACTTGTATGATAGATACAAGAAGGTATAGAATAGTATCATCAAAATTATAAAGTGACAACCATTGATGCCGCGATGGCTCAGTAGTATAGCAGTAGTCGATACGCTATAGTGCCCTTTTGCAAGGCATTACCAAGTCCCTCGAAGAGGACTTTTCTTGTCTCACTTCTGGCATGATTGTGTACACAGAACACTTTCAGACTATCTTTATATGTAGAGTGATGTACAAGTTTAAGTTCTTGAAGTTTCTATTAGTGTGAATGAAGCATCGACCCTATACTGTCCTGGGTATAAAGTGAAGCTGCAGGTTTTTATCCTCAACCTCTCTATTCATCCATTCCATCATAAGCTGAGAGCAAGAGGGGCATTGACATTGTGTTAGTTATAAATATAAAGAGATAATGCCTTTATTGCGTTAACAATGAGACAATGTCTCCAGAGAGGGCCAACAAATGTATTGATGGATCTAAGTGCTTGGGAGGAGAGCTGTTTTGTTAAGTGGATTAAGATAAGTGCATTGAGCTGGGACTTTAAGTACACATAACTGGGAACAGTTATCTGTCTTCTTTAGAGGCAGCATGGTAGTGGGATGTATACCTGAAGTTTGGATAGGTGAAAAACATTTAACTGGGTTGATGTTTCTCTTGGCACTCTTTATGGATACCATGTGGCTAGGCAAGGAATAAAGTTTCTACTGTCAGCCAGTAGAAGAGATTAAAGGGTAATTCAACCCTTGCCATTTGTATGAAAGCAGATAACTCAGTGGTAGGGCAGTGGACTTGGATTAACAGGGAGGTCCCAGGTTCAAAACCAAGTCAATTAATGCACTCATTAATTCATGCCATTTGGTAAGGCATTAATCCTCATTACCAAGTCCCTCGGAGAGGACCTTAAGCCGTTGGTCCCCTGGTTGTTTACTTACAAGTTCATACATGCTTTCTAATAGCAGTTAGGTAAAATAATCATCAGCAAAAAAAAAATTGAAAGAAACTTTGAAAAATCAGACTAGTAATAAGAAAGTTATGAACAAGATCACTAACTCTACAGTGTATTTGAATCTCAAATTGGCAATTCGGTCGTGGAATTGTGACGTAGTTGCGGATACCTCTCCCGTTTGTCGCGTATAGAAATATAAAAAGTTTAATTTTTGTTAACTTGAATATCTTGAAACTAATACATTCAGATCTTCATCTGATTTTTTTTTTAATCATAAATTCACATTAAAACCAAAGAATGTAAATGTACAGTGCAGTCATACATGTACTTAAGTCTTGAAAGCCCTAAGAGAGCTTAAATTTTCATACATTTTGATTATCTCAATCTGTGTTTTTTAAGTGTTCTTAGAATTAAAGTGGTCCTACTACGGTGTCAAGCAACTTCTGAAGCACTTTGTAACTGAAAGTAAAAGGCACTCTGCATGTACCAGATAATTTATGGATTGGAGTACATGTATGTAATGCAGATGCACATGTTGACTGTTGTATACACTAGGCCTAGAATACTCTAAGAAAATAAGCTTACCTCCATTTATGTGGAATGAAATACTTGGAAATACTCGGACAAGAAAGAAGGGTGACTCATACCGTGAGCGAAAGCCCCTGATTCTTGGAACAGTTTGTAAATTGTACAGGAAAGTAAATCATGAAATTACCTGCAATGAAATGAAAAGAGAAACAGAATTTGATTAATAATACAGTTTTTATGAACCATGAATACATACCGGTACCTATATTTACTTCAGTATAGGTTTTGTTTTAACATCATAACTTTGTGTCTTCGATAACAGAGTGAGAGAAAGTTCATAGGAACTTCTTCTTCTTTTCTCTCTCGCGTCTCTTTCTCTCCATTGCTCTGTCTCTTTGTCTGTATGTCTGTCTGTCTCCCTTCCTCCCCCCCCCCCCCCCCTCTTCTCCCTCCTAACTCCCTCCCCCTCTCTTTCCATCTCACTTTCTCTCTCTCTCTCTATCCCTCTCTCTCCCTTGCCCTTCTTTCTTTCTTTCTTTCTCCCTCTCTCTCTCCTTCCCTCCCTCCTCCTCCTCCCTCCCTCCCCCTCCCTCTCCCCCTCTCTTACCCCCTCGTCTCACCCTCATAACTTTCTTATGATTGATCCTAAATATTTCAAACTTTTGCCACTGTTTCTCTAGTCTTTATTAAATAAGTGAGACTTTTACAATGTATCTATAGATCATTTGTGAGAGCATAACAATACACAAACCCCAACCCTTTCCATAAAAACCAATGAAAAATTGCAATGTCAAGTATTTTCTCACTACACAGTGAAGTTCATTGGCTGGCCACCACAAGGGCATACAGACTGGATCCATTATAATCCACAAAGACCCTATTTATACATCTACTCCAGGCCTACAAGGAAACGCTTTCATCGAAACATGCCAACGAGAGTCTATGAAAATAATTCATGGCATCGATGGACTTGAGCTCAACACGAGAGCTACATTGGAGGATGAACAGAGAGGCGTGTATAATGAGGTTCTCTGACAAACCATGCACTGGGGATATTGTTGCTCTGTAATAAACCAAACAAGTATTATACAGCATTCCCATTTTAATCTTCTGTTAATCGATTTGATAGGATTGTATTGAAGATGGTCAAATATCAAAATTGTCTGTGTTTATATCATGGTGTATGAAAACAAAAATAAATAATCAATGATATTATATGTCTGTTTTTAAACTTAAGAAATGTCAACCTTGGAAGAAAAAGTAAAAGTACGCTTATATGCAACCTACACTGTACATCAGCTAATCCCATAACTTTGACAAAAACAAAGCAATCATTTTATTTGACATTTAAACTTTGGACAAAACGAGTTACAGTACATACATGTACGTACCTAACCCTAAAACCCCAACCTAAAAGTACACTATTGCAACCTACAGTACATGTAGCTCTGTTAACCTAGATAATCCCAAAACTTTGAAAAAACAAAGCAATCATTTCAAACATTTACATGTAATATAACCTAATTCAATGTAAAATCATCGGTTGAAGGGCTACGAGCTAGAAGGGCTTATTATAACCAATATCCTTTCTTGCCTTTGGCATAGAGTTAAAGCTAAACTTGAGTTCTGGTAATGCGATTGCATTGTGAAACAAAAGGTGTGGAATGGATCAGAAAAGTTGATCATATACATGTAGTATGTAAGTAATGGTGTGTATAATGCAAGGTTCTGGAGTCATCAAAATCATCATAAATTTGGCATAGTCTTGGTAAAGTAACAATCACTTACACAGAAAGATGTATATGCGACAACACACATGGTGTCCGGGCTAGTACTACCCTGATTTCCTTATCTTTCTATGCTCATTACTCAGCCAGTAAACATTTTCTTCGAAAATTGTTTGGCACATGACATTTATTTGTAATCTTGAACATTCAGTGTAAGTTTCGTTAGATTCTGTGAGAATTCATTTTCTTTTTTTTACCAGAACTCAAGTTTATCTTTAATGCTTTCTGGCTCTAAACAGAACATACTTTTTAAAGTTAATTGAAGTTAAGTAATATTCATGCACATGTACATGTAGGTTCAGTAATTTGTTACCAACAGCAATTTGCAAGGCAAAATAAAACCATGCTCTATCAGTAAATGAAAGAGAGAATAAAAGTAATCCTTTCATGACGTCATTGCATTTTAATTACACAATTAGCCCAGCATGTAATCCATGCCGTACATCACAAGTCATACAACAAGCAATATATCATGAATAATTGCCTTGAGGCTGTGTCATTAATTTGTAATGTCCATCTAGGCTGTCGATAACAAGATCTATGGACAGTAACGAGAGGGTCATCTAAATATTATCTGTCCGTGGTAGAAGTCAACGGATGATCTTGAAATATGGCCGATGTCAGTCGGTCTTCGGTTGGGTCATTAATCAAACTAGAAAATCTTCTACAGGCATTTTTATTACATGTACATGTAATGTACGCTGGCTGTCTTCGGATGTTAACACTGTATGGTCAAGTTCAAATGAGCAATACAGGGAATCAAGGCACTGCAGGGGGGTGTTTCACAAAAATCCTAAGTTTAACTTATCTCTAAGTTGGACTTAATAATTATGGAAAGCTATCTATGAAAATATTTTGTAAAAGTTATTTTAAAAGGCATAAAATGTTGATTCAAATCATTCATACTTTCTATTATCAAGGAGATTTTACGTTCTTGATGTGGAATTTATAAAAAGTAGAACATACTTAAATTTTCACTTTTGAATATTTCATTTTAAGGCTACAAAAGGCTCTCCATAATGTTTAAGTCTAACTTAGAGTTAAGTTCATCTTATGATATTTGTGAAACACCCCCAGAAGTGCCAAGATATAGTGGTTCCAAAGGTAACAGAAATTTGGAAATCTATTTTTTGTATGTACACCTGTAGAGTTGCCTAACAGTATGTTATAACGGCTGCAACTGTTTATATTTTTATTTGAGTATATAATATTAGAGGCAGCTTAGGCCCTCTCTTTGAAATTTTGTTGAAATAAAAGACAAACAAACAAATGAATGAATAAATAAATGAAATAAATAATTAAAGTCAATGAACTAATAAGCAAACAAATAAAAAATAAAGAAACAAACATAAAAATAACTGAATGAACATACATGTACAATGTACATGACTTGTACAGGTACATAGGAAAAGTTATTCTTAGATTTCGCATCAAGCTTTCCTGTGATATACATTTACATGTATGTTGTAAAGTGTGGAAATGTAATATTTGTTTGCTAGTTTACCCGACTGCTAAGAAAGTATGTGTATGCTTGTAAGTAAGCAACCGGGGGACTGACGGCTGTAATTCTTATCCAAGAGACTTGGTAATGAGGATTAATGCCTTACATGTACTAAAGAGCACTGGTGCATCAAATTGGCTTCGAACCCGGGACCTTCCGGTTACGAGACCACTGCCTCTACCACTGAGCCATCATGTCATGTACACTTTTTTGTTTTAAATTTAATAACGGAACACCTTTATGTCCGTATAACAGTGTGTATTCAAAGCTGACTCATTTTCAAATCATCTTGAACCCTGCTCTTATAATCAGATGATATAAGACAACAGATGATTTATATCACTACGAAAGTGAAACAAAATACATTAAAGGCTATTGTGTGAAACTAAAGCACCCTGCACAATACATCATACACATTGAAAGCTGTCACAGAAGGGCATTTAATGTAGAGTAAAAATAAGCCTAAAGATATGTGTACATGCACATACACCATTCACGGTGAGGAAAGACTGAGATTATATGATTCATGTACTTATTCATTAGTCAAATTATATCAATTGGGAAAAAAGAGCTAGAGAAAAAGAGAGAGAGAGAGAGAGAGTAACAGAGAGAGAGAGAAAGAGAGAGAGAAAGAGAAAGAGAGAGAGAAAGAGAGAGAGAGTTAGAGAGAGAGAGAGAAAGAGAGAGAGAGTTAGAGAGAGAGTTGCCAATTTGATCTCCTTGCATCCCAAAGCTCGACACCGAAAGCCTCTAATAAAGTCCTGAGAGTCTTGTTAAGAAGGTGCCAAGCTCTTAAAATGCACAACGCCCGTAACAACTCATCATCCTGGCTCAACGAGGCAATTAATTGACATAATTAGGGAACTTTCTCATCCACCTTCTGAGAATCTAGAAATTTAGCTTTCTGTGAGTCATTTAAAATCTACTTTTATACAGTTGTATAAATAGATGTACAAACCTGTACACTGTACATGTAAGTATCATTCTTAAAGGTATAGACCAGTTTTTGGAAACTCCCCTCTCTCAAAAAATGAAATGGTACTGTAGCTCTTATTACCAATCATGTGAAAGAATATGTTTAGACTAATAAATGATATTTTGCTGGGAAATCGCCTACTAATTGATATATTTGGTAAATTATTATATCTATCAGGAAAGGATCGCGTAGTCCCATAAGGACCCATATACATCTTTTTTATGTACAGTGCTTGTAACTTTACCAAGACTGGGCCAAGTTTCTAATCATTTTTGATGATTCCAGAACCTTGCAGTACACGCCAATACTTAGATCATCAACCTTTTCTGATCGATTCCACAGCGTTTCTTTCACGATGCAATCGCTTGACCAGAACTGGTCTATACCTTCAATGGAAAGAAACTGTTGTTTCTCTATCTCCATACATAAGTGCATTCTAAGCCCAAATGATAAACAATAAGACTACCCCCCTGTCCACACACAACATTTTCCGTGATTAGGCGTGATTAGCTATACTGTTTCGCGAAAATTGTGTGTGTGGACGCTCACTAACGATACGTCGTATAACGAAACTAGTCTAACGAAACGCAGGTTTGGGCATCGTTTCGAACTGAAACTCAATAAAGAATCACGCCTAATCACGGAAAATGTTGTGTGTGGACAGAGGGAGTGTAACTAGTGTAACTAACTGGGGCGGGGCTTAACGTGACCTCGAGCGAAAGGAGACCAGACCTCTCATTTTCGCTTCCATTTCATGACCGCAGTAGCAAACTGCGCACCTATAGGACATTTCGATGTAGAGTTTCAGGATTACTTTCTTCTGTGTGTGGACATCCTGGAATTTATACGATGATTCTTTATACGACGTTTCGTTATAGAGTTTCGGGATAAATTGTTTTGTGTGTGAACACGCTGTACGTGTA